TTGGTGTTGATGACCTCCCTCAGGTCGGCAATGAGACGCTTGATGGCTTCCTGTGAGGGCGGCACCGCCACCTCGGAATGGTCTGGCTTGACCCTAAACCCGCCACCGAAGGACACAGGCGGAGGAGGGGCTGGGGCAGAAGGAAAGATGGGGTGAACGTGGGCGTTCTACAAAGCACGAAAATGAACGAGTGGTACTACCATAGACAGGCTTGGGCTGCTGGGCGTTGAGAGCGTTTTGTATTTCCATCGCCAGCTGCAGATCAAGGTCCTCCTGCAAAGAGCTAGCGGTCAGGTACAAGCTCAAAGTAGATTGAGGGTGGCACCATACCTGCTTCTTCGTCTCGTCTGTTTTGGCGTCGCCCCCAGCGGCCTCCTTTTCTGATTTAGCGGCGCTCTCGTTGGCTGCGATCTCTTCCTGCATGAGCTGCATTGCCAACTTGAACGACTCCTCATCCATTGGGTCCATCTTCAATCGATGCTTGTTGCACGAAGCTTCAGCCAAAAGCGTGGAAGAATAATATTAGAGATTTATTATTGTTGGTATTCAATAAGCAAAATATTCCAGTAACAAATCAACACAAGTTAAGAGGAGGAGGTGAATGAAACGGGCAAGGGATAACAAGGGCAAGAAATTTGTGGCAATTGGCTTTGCTGGAGCGGTGCAAAGCTATGCTGGACGCTACAGCGGCACGTTGAATTGACGGCCAAGAGACCAAGTTCCTTAATTTCCCTCAAATCTCACATCTTCATCTCCACAACAGGGTCGCAGAACACAAGTGGCACGCAGGTAAAGCGACAAAAGGTGGCGGGGTACGAACCACTTTGCTCCCCTTCACAAAAGCAATGATGGTGATGAACGTTGTGTCACAGAGATCGTGATAGGGCGTCATCCCCGTCTTCGTCCTCTTCTACTTCCCCCGCGTCAGCCGACGGGAGCAAAGGCTCCAGCAGCACCCGACTGAGTCGACGTCCGGTCCCCACGCCAGCCGAGCTGACGGCGGCGTTGAAGGAGCCGTTCCGTGCACATGCCCTGGAGCTGCGGCCGCACCTTGTCCACCACTCGGTGCTCCCAGCCAAGGAAGCACAAAGCACCAAGCTGCAGGAGGGTACGCACACTCCCGCAGCGGTAGAAGGTGCCTTGCTGTTGATCCATCCTCGCGCACCACAACAGTTGACGACTTGCCGGTCTCGCTCCGCTCGGCTCTTGCGGAGCTTGGATTCGCATCCGTCTACTCGCATCAGTTGGAGACGCGAAACCAGATCAGAGCGGGGAAGGACGTGATCATCACCACGCCCACATCTAGGCACGCTCCTCGCTCGTAGCACCAACGCTGCGCTCCAAAGGCCATGCCTAACCGTGACTTTGCACATCAGCGGCAAGAGCCTTTGTTTCAACTTGGGCATATTTGAGCATCTGCTCGGCAATCGGAACAGCGCCACTGCCCTGTATCTGTTCCCGCTCAACGCCCTGGCCAAGGATCAGGAGGAAAAGCTCAACCAGCTCAATGACCGGCTACCACAGCCGGAACGGCTCAAGATTGTTTGCCTCACCGGTGCGTGCAGCAATCCCTTTGCCCATCGCAGGGTTATCGGAGGACTAACAGTAGGGTGAGTGGTGTCCATTGTACGTTTGTGGCTCCAGGCTCGGTCGAGGTGTCGGATCGCATGCGGTTGTTCATGGACGAGCCGCCCCACATCGTCATATCAAATCCCGACACACTACACTACCAGGTTTCAGTGCACTTCATGTCCTGACTGAGCCGCAA